CTTAGAGGCAAATCCCTTTGGGGAACATATGGCAGCTAAGCAGCACAGTGAATAGAATGCTGGGCTTGAAGTCAGCAATACCTGAGTTTGAGTTCTGCCTCAGACACTTAATAACTTTGTGACCCAGGACAAGTCACTTAACCTCTCTAAGGGGCAGTTTCCTTATCTGGAAAATGGGGCTAATAACAGCACCTCCTTATAACCCTGTGAGAATTATTGAGATGACGTATGTAAAGCCCTGTTCAAACCAAATGCAGGTTTTTTATGCCTCTTCTGATGTTTATTATCTGAGGGTCACTGAACAGGGGTGTTGCTACATTTTCCAAGGAATCTTGAATGATCTTAATGCCCAGATGGGAGATAACTTTCTATAAAAGTTTATAAAGTGGCATTTTGCTCTACCAAATCAAATGTATTTTCATAATCAGCAAACAATGATTCAATTCAATTAACATTTGTTAAGCACCTACTGTACATCAGGCTCTCGATCTTATATTCCCTGCATCTTTTTTGTTAATTGTGAGATGATAATGCTCTGGTCCTTTGTTGACTACCACTTGGAAAAGTCTGCTTATTCCATTCTCGTGCTTTCCTAAGAATGCCTTCAATTCATGTATGTATGTCTCTCATCAAGATTTTGTGTAGATTAGAGAGGGGGCATTTAACTATGGTATTTTTTTATGTCTCTTGGTTACTGTGTTTTGGGAAGGGCGATATTAAAAAAGGTCCACTATTCTTTTTCATACAGTTGGCATCTTCCTGTGCTTCAGATAACTTATAAATTGGTCCCTAACGTTTTCCTAATTGCATTGTCTTCAGTATAGATCTCCACTCTTTATACTTGTTCCAATCTGACAGTTCTTTACACATCTTTGTTTATTTTGTTAATTTCTGCCTATTTACAGTGCATCAAACTGAGATCTATTAGGGTCCAAGTGTGGTGGTTCCATTGTTCTTTATGTATTACATTATCTATTGTGATGTTTTCTTTATTTTTTTAAACCAAATCTTTTCCATTTTTCTTTCTGTTGTACTATGCCCTCCCTTTCCACCCTCACATTCCACCCCCTACCTTATCGCCCCTCCTCTCCTTCTCCGTTGTCATCCTTGAATACCTTTAGGATGGCTTTGCTTGGTTCATACAAAGAGAAACACTGAAGGATAAAATCAGTTTAAAGAAAGCTCAATAAAATTTCTTGAATATTAGATTTTTATTTGAGTTATTTGATAACAAAGATTTCCCTCCTATTTACATTTTCCTTTATACTTGCTACACCAGTTTTGTTCGTGTAAAAGCCTTTTAGTCTTTTGCAGTTTAAATTGTTTATTTTATTTTTGTGTTCTCTATCTTTCATTTGACTTAAGAATTTGCTCCCAGGTATAGTCATGAAAGACACCTTCTTCCTTTCTCCTCTTAATTTTTTAAAAATATTTAGTTTGTGTGTCTCCCTGGGGCTTAGGCAGTGTGCTGGTGGGAGCCAGTTTTCTGCCAAACTTTTCCAGTGTTCTATTCATTCTTGTTGAACAGAGAGACCCTTCTCCACTAATGTGCCAAACATGCGATAATAGAGGTCAGTTGTTTTTGCTTTTTACTCATGTATTCCATTCCATCAATCTACTTTTTTGTTTTTTAACCAGTACCAAATAGTTTGGTGATTAAAGCTTTCTTATGTAGTTTGAAATATTGAAAGCATTATGCCCCCTTCATTATTACTTTTCTTTCATCATTTCCTTTGGTATTCTAGACCTTTTATTCCTCTAAATGATTTAGAAAAAATTTGTGGAATTCTACTAAATAATGCTTTGGTAGTTTGACATAGTATGGAATCTACAAATTAATTCGGATGATGTTGTTTTTGTTGGTATGGCTCAATGCTAAGCTTTAAATCTATCTTTACTTATTTAAATTGTCCTTTATTTCTATACAGTGTTTGTAATTATTTATGTAAGTCCTAATTGTGTCCTCATGTATTGTTTCAGATATTTGGTACATTTTGTTGTTATTTTGAATGGAAATTCTAGCACTTGCTCTTGGTTTTTGTTGTTGCTAAATACAAATGCTGATGATTTTGTACATTTATTTAGTCTACTTTTTTATTGAAGTAGAGTTAATGAGTTTTCTTAGTAAGCCATCTGTAAAAAAGGAGTAATACTGTCTTCGCAGTTTCAGTGTTTATTAAGCTGCCTATTTTTAAAGAGTTAACTTAGGAAAGTAAAACAAAATGAATAAGTACTAGTATAATGGAAGAAACAAAATGAATACTTAAATCTGAAGTTGCCCAGCTATAGCATTTCATTTATTCTGTGCACATTTAGAAAATATTAAGCAAAATGTAACAACAAATAAGAATCTTTTTTATTTGGGGCTGTAAAGCCCAGAGTTTAAGAGTGAACAGTATCCATACCACACAGCCAGCCTGAAACTCCTTTTAATTAATTTATTTTGATTTATCTACAATAACTTCCATAAGCGTTTGAGTTTTAAAATTTTCTCCCCCACTCTCTCCACCTTCCTCTCCACAACAGCGCGCAGTCTGATATAGGCACACATATACATTCCTATTGAACATATTTTCACATTAGTGACGTTGTAAGTAAGAATTAGCACCCATAGGAGGAACCACCAGAAAGAGGAAACAAAACACAACAGAAGAAAAAAAATAGCAAATAGTATGCTTCGATCTGCATTCAAACTCCATAGCTCTTTCTTTGGATGTGGATAGCATTTTCCATCATGAGACCTTTGGTGATATCTTAGACCCTTGCATTGCTGAGAAGGGCTAAGTCTATAAAAGTTAGTCATCGTACAACATGGCTGTTACTGTGTACAATGTTCTCCCTGGTTCTGCTCACTTCACTCACCATCAGTGCATACAAGTCTTTCCAGGTTTTTGTGAAGTCTGCTTGCTCATCATTTCTTATGGCACAATAGTATTCCATTACATTCATATACCACAACTTGTTGAGCCATTCCCCAATTGATAAGCATCATGTCAATTTCCAATTCTTTGCCACCACAAAAAGAGCTGCCATAAATATTTTTGTACATATGGGTCCTTTTACATTTGTATGATGTCTTTGGGATATAGCCCTAGAAGTGCTATTGCTGGGTCAAAGGGTTTGCACACTTTTATAGCCCTTTGGGCATAGTTCCAAATTGTTCTCCAGAATGGTTGGATCATTTCACAACTCCACCAACAATGCATTAGTGTTCCAGTTTTCCCACATCTTCTCTACCATTTATCATTTTCCTGTTTTGTCATGTTGGCCAATCTGATAGATGTGATGTGGTACCTCAGAGTTGTTTTGATTTGCATTTCTCTAATTAATAGTGATTTAGAGCATTTCTTCATATGACTATAGATGGCTTTAATTTCTTCATCTGAAAACTGCCTACTTATATCCCTTGACCATTTATCAATTGGAGAATGACTTGTATTCTTATAAATTTGACTTAATTCTCTATATATTTTAGAAATGAGGCCCTTATCAGAGACACTGGTTGTAAAAATTCCCAATTTTCTACTTTCCTTCTAATCTTGGTTTCATTGGCTTTGTGCAAAATCTTTTCAATTTAATATAATGAAAATTATCCATTTTGCATTTTGCAATATTCTCTATCTCCTGTTGGGTCATGAATTCTTCTGTTCTCCATAAATCTGATAGGTAAACTATTCCTTGCTCTCCCAGTTTGCTTATAGTATCAGCCTTTCTATCTAAATCATGAACCCATTTTGACTTTATTTTGGCATATGGTGTGAGATTTTGGTCTATGCCTAGTTTCTACAATACTCTTTTCCAGTTTTCCCAGCAGTTTTTTGTCAAATAGTGACTTCTTGTCCCAGAAGCTGGGGTCTTTGGGTTTATCAAATAGTAGTTTACTATAGTCATTGACTACTGTGTCTGGCGTACCTAACCTATTCCACTGATCCCCCACTCTATTTCTTAACCAGTACCAAGTAGTTTTGATGATTGCTGCTTTTAATACAATTTAAGATCTGGAACGGCTATGGCACCTTCCCTTGCATTTCTTTTCATTAGTTCCCTTGATATTCTGGACCTTTTGTTATTCCAGATGAATCTTGTTATTATTTTTTCTAGCTCTATAAAATAATTTTTTGGTAGTTTCATTGGTATGGCACTGGATAAGTAAATTAACTTAGGTAGGCTTGTCATTTTTATAGTATTAGCTCGGCCTACCCATGAGCAGCTGATGTTTTTCCAGTTATTTAGATCTGACTTTATTTGTGTGAAAAGTGTTTTGTAATTGTGGGTCATAGAGTTCCTGGGTTTGTTTCGGTAGGTAGACTCCTAAATATTTTATAATGTCTACAGTAAGTTTAAATGGGCTTTCTCTTTCTATCTCTTGCTGTTGGGCTTTGTTGGTGATATATAGAAATGCTGATGATTTATGTGGGTTTATTTTATAGCCTGCAACTTTGCTAAAGTTATTATTTCAAGTAGTTTTTTTACTTGATTCTCTAGGATTCTCTAAGTATATCATCGTATCATCTGCAAAGAGTGATAGCTTTGTTTCTTCTTTGCCTATTCTAGTACCTTCAGTTTCTTTTTCTTCTCTTATCGCTAAAGCTAACATTTCCAGCGTGATATTGAACAACAGTGTTGATAATGGACATCCTTGTTTCACCTCCGATCTTACTGGAAATGCTTCTAGCTTGTCCCCATAACATATGATGCTTGCTGAAGGTTTTAGGTAAATGCTATTTATTATTTTAAGGAAGACTCCATTTATTCCTATGCTCTCTAGTGCTTTTAATAGGAATGGGTTTTATATTTTATCAAAAGCTTTTTCTGCATCTATTGAGGTGATCATGTGGTTTCTGTTAGTTTTGTTGTTGATATGATCAATTATGCTGATAGTTATCCTAATATTGAACTACTGAAACTCCTTTTAAAGGACAAAATGAAATAGGCCATCCTTCTCTGGAAACCCAGAGAACATTCATTACTAAGCTGACCCTTTCTCTTCTTTTCTTTAGGCCAAGCATTGTTGGATATTGGTGAAGCGATGAAGTTGATGGCTGAAGTGAAAGGCTATCTTGATATCAGTGTGAAACAAAACTTTATTGATCCACTACAATTATTACAAGAAAAAGATCTAAAAGAGATTACTGTGAGTTCCTGGGCAGAAAACGTAGATTTATTTTAAAATGATGTATTTATTTAAAGTCATTAACCTTTGTTCAGTAGGAACTTGGTCAGAATATCATCCTCTCAAGTACCTAGTGGCAATTCAGTCCAATTGAATAGTTTTGGGAAGAAGGCAAACTTGTAAAAATATCTAATGATCTAACAAAGAAAACCCCTGATCTTATTCTTGGTGCCCTACTTGGGGCCCATTTACCATGTTTAATATTCACCCTGTTGGACTTTCCCTATCTTTATATAGTGTTGGCCACCTTTCAAGTGTTACTTCTCGTTTGTTCTTTGTGTAACATAGGATTAGAAATGTATTAGAAGGAAATATGTATCATTGCTTCTAGCTCTTTAGGTCTAGCTGTTTAAACAATTCAAAATGCCCTCGCTACTCTTGTCTAGCACAGATTTCTCCTTATCCTTTTCATAAAAATAGCATTGCATTGCAAAAATAGCTAAACAATATATACAATATTTAGTATGCTTTGCTAAAATATAGGTAACATAGCTATAGAATTTTCACAATCTTTCACTCTCATAAACTTGTTAAATAAAGTAAGTGAAGTCAAATTTTTCTCCTTGGCAGAGAAAATGTAATCAAAATCAGAGTTAAGCAGTCCTGTCTTCTCACTATCCTCTAGTATAATCGTTCTTTCCATTTTGAGGAGTGGTTTCCTTCAGGTATAGCTTTAAGTAGTCCCTCATTTGGGGTTTTCTTGGCAGAGATGCTGGAGTGGTTTGCCATTTCTTTCTCCAGCTCATTTTACAGATGAGGAAACTGAAGCAAACAGGGTTAAGTGACTTGCCTAGGGTCACACTGCTAGTATATGTTTGAGGCCAGACTTGAACTCAGGATGATTTCTTCCTGCCTTCAGGCCCAGCACTCTATCCACTGTGCCACCTAGTGCTTAGGCTTTGGGAATCATTTAATCCAACTTCATATTGTAGATAAAGAAACTGGGGGTCCAAAAAAGCTAGGCAATTTAATTTTTGATCCAAAACTAGCCTTGGTCTCTTGACTTCATCATTGTGATTATGACTTACTTACACTCTGATGTCATTTCAACTTGATATGAATTGAGCAAATGAATTCCTAAGTTTTTCATTTCAATTGAACAAATATTTATTAAGTGTCTACTCTTTCCAAATCGCTGTGCCAGGTGTTAGTAGTACGTAGACTAAAACATCACTGTCAATACACTTAAAAGCTCTTCCATTTAAATGGAGGATACAACATATACACAGATTAGTAATTACAAGATAATTTGAGGAGGGAGAAATGATTAAAAACCTGAAAGATCAAAGAGGGCTTCACGGAGGAAGTGGCATTCAAAGTCTTAAAGGGAGACAAAGATTCAAAGGGGTGAACGGATGAAGAAGTACATTTCAGTGGGGGGAAACTAATCATCTGGATTTCTCAGACGCACTGGAAAGAGCCCTAAATTGGGAGTCAGAGGACCTGGGTATGAATTCCATCTCTAACACAGCTGGTTGGACCTTGAGAAAGTCACTCAGTCTCTTTGAGACTCAGTTTCTTCATCTGTAAACAGAGAGGGTTGGATTACATGAAATCTGAAAGTCTCTTCTGTCTCTAAATCTGATCCTGCTTAATGATTGGCTCAATATGATATTTAACAAAAAAGTTTCAGTTTTTAATTTCCTGTTTATTTGGTTAGTAATTATCTAGAATAAAGTTTCTGCACATCGGCAAAGCTGGAAAGAGATGAGTAACCCTCAAAACAGGATCTCTGGACAAGATTTTCCAGATGTTACACTTTTGTTGGATGTCAAGAAGATCTAGCTACTTGTACTTACACACACATATTCAATTATTCCATAAGCATCCTTGTCACCTTTGTGCTAGGCATCGAAAGGGATGGATTGTGCCATCTGTGGTTTAGACTTGGGGAAAATAATTACCATTTTCATAGAACTGTAAAAGCAGTCTTACAATTCTCTAATTTTTCTCTTAGTCGCTTTTGAAAAAGCTGGAAGGCCGTCGTTTGGACTATGATTATAAAAAGAGACGAGTTTCTAGGATACCTGGTGAAGAATTACGAACAGCAGTAAAAAAATTTGAAGAGTCAAAGGAGTTGGCTAGAAATGGCATGCTTAATTTGTTAGAAAATGATGTGAGTATGACATTTCAACTATTTAAAATAAACTAAGGGACTCTTAAAACAATAAAATTTTAATTAAATGATATCGTTTTAGAGATGTTCTCAGTGTCAGGAAGAGGAAGGAACTTTAATGTCCTCATGAACACGAAGTATTAGTACATGTTAGTGGTTTGGAATTGTTTCTCTGCTGTGGTCAATTCTTGCGACTTCAGAAATTCAAGAAATCAGAGTATCTTGGGAAGCACTTGCTCAGAAGCATGACTATATTAGATATCTATTCAAGGTCATTGGTAGGAGGTGAGAGCCAGGGGAAAATCACAATGTATTCCTTTTTCATTCTTCTGCCTCTAGTTATTTATGGATAAAAATAAATTAAAATAAGCTCTAGGGGTCGGCCTTAAAAGGGAAAAGAAATTACTGAAAGTCCATTTGCTGCTTGAGAGAATGGACAGTTCCACAATGTCTGCATTGGTGTAGATAGGAGCATCAGGCCCCCTCCTTTGTCTACTCATGGCCACCTGGAGTCATTTCATTGCCCTTTCAACTAGCCCTAGAAGTTGATGGTCCAAGGTGTTGTACCATTTCTCCAAAACTGAGAATTTAGGATCTCTGGTTCCAATATCGTGTGTCCTTTGGATTTGTGGAAGAGTGACTTTTTTCCTCTTTAGAATGTATAGGAATGCCATTTTTTAACATCACTATACCATCAGAAATGGAGCATTCAAACAGAAATAATTTATTTTATTAAGTCAAGCCAACAAGTATTTGTTAAATTCCTACTCTGTTAGATATGGTGCTAAGTGCTGGAGTTTTGTAGAATGGCTTTGCCTACTGTTTGGACTACTGTCAAGTCAGGAATCTTATAATGGATAAGCTGAGTTCATATAAATCCATCAAGTGCCAGAAAGGACAGTATCACCTTTATCTTTCCCTTTGTTTACTTCCTTTTTTTTTTTAAAGGGACAAAGAGACAATTTCCTCCCTATCTCCTTGTTTATCAAGGTTTCATTTTTTGTTTTTGGTAACAATAGTAATAGCTAATATCACTATGGCACATTAAGGTTTTACAGAATACTTTCCATTTCCACTTCCTGTGTGGTATATAGTGCAAATATTACTATTCCCATTGGAAACAGGCAAGTGCCTTGCCCATGTTACGTGGTGTCAGATGGAGACAGCATGATGTAGTAGATAGAGTACTTGATTTAGGAAGACCTGAGTTCAAATCCTAATCTCAGCCACTTACCAAGTCTTTGACCCCGGGCAAGTCACAGCGTCTCTTTGCCTCAGTCTCCTCATCTGTAAAATGATGGAGTTGGACTTAATGGTCTCTAAGGTCTCTTTGAGTTCTAAATCTATGATCCTTTGTTTTCAAGTCTAGCACTCTTTTTAGTCTACCATATGACCTGTCCTGGAGGAAAAAGTAACTTGTGTCATGTTGGACCTAGCATACAGAATGTTTTGTTGTTGTTCAGTTGTGTCTGGCTCTTCATGACCTTGTTTGGGGTTTTCTTGGCAAAGATACCAGAATAGTTTGCCACTTCCTTCTCCAGTTTATTTTACAGATGAGAAAACTGAGGCAAGCAGATTTAAGTGTCTTTCCTAGAGTCACACAGCCATTAAATGTCAGTGGCTGGATTTGAACTCAGGTCTTCCTGACTCCATGCCTGGCACTCTATCCCCTGTGCCACCTAATTGTCTGGAAGATGTTTCCTATCACAGAATTATTAGCTAAGGTTATTAACTTGGGAAGACACATTGCTTTATAAATGCTGCCATCTAGCTTGTGTGTGGGCAGGCCCATTTAAACAGAACAATTTATGAATTATCTTCTTCAGAGAACATCATTAGTGGGTTTTTACAAAGGCCTACATTTAAGATACGCATAGTTGGTTACTATTAAATTTAGCTTGGCAATTAGCCCAGCCTGTAGAATTTATTCCCTAATTATCAGTAAAAAGCCAGAAGTTGTTGTTTCATTAATGAACTTAGTTGTTCATTTCAATTTTTTCCAAAATAAAATACGTTAGCTGTCTTGAGAGTGGGAGAATTCCTTTCCTTGCTGTGGAATTGTAATTGTCCAGCTTGCTTTCGGTTAAGCCCTCCTTGGATACTTGTAGGCCACCTTTAATTTCTCCTTTTTGACTTCTAATAGAGAGTGGGTGACAGGCCTTCAATTGTCACTACTTAGGCTAGGTAATTTGGTTTTCCCCCTATTTAATTCTTGGCTTAGCTTTCCTTCTGCTGTAACCGACAGACTTTGGCACTCTCATACCTGCTAATGTTGACTTTCTTAGTAGGGCATATCCATAAGCTTCATTAGAACTTACAGAAATTGGATCTCTCCCTCCCCATCCTTATCTTGGTTTCTTTGAAAAGACAAAAACCAAAACAAACAGAATAATTACTACATAGCCAATTAATGGCAGGTCTGGAACTAGAATCCAGGGCTCTTGATTCGGTATTGCTTCTGCTAAGCCACCTAGTTCATCCATTAGAAGGAGAAAAGCAAGTTCTTAATAAAGGTCGGGGGAGGGCATGTACGGCCCTTCTCTCCCTTTCTTCCTTTCTTTTTGATCCCAGTGTATCCTAAATAGAGAGCTTTCTAAGCAAACCTTTCTTCTTATTAGAAGACCAGATCAGAGACATGATCTCCAGGCTTCCCCATTCCCATGGGGGCACCTATCTCATCCTACTCTACTTTGTTCTTTTTGGCACCATTTTCCATTTCTGCCACTATCCATTTTAGAAAGCCTTGGACTGGGAGGTTTTGGAGGAGAACCTTTATTGGGTTATGGATGGTGTTTGATTAGAGGATATAGGCATTGCTTTTGTGTCAGTTTATTTTGTCCCTTTCAACTCCCCAAAATATGAACTGATCCTTGTCACTTGGTGCTGGTAGACCTTATGAGAAATGCCTGTAATGTCTCTGTTACCTACAAACATTTCTTCTATGAGATGATACACTCTATACTTTTCAAATCCAGTTTATTAACCAGGGAACATGGCTTCATCAAAAACAGACACTTCTGGGCAAGTCACAGCCCCAGTTGCCTCACCAAAAAACAACAACAAAAACAAACAAAAAAACCCAGAAACCAAAAAAGATCTATTCTTAATACTTACCCTCTAAATACAAATTGTAGGAAGAAAAACATTTCAGTTTCTACTATAAGGATAATAGAACTCTGATTGATTAAAAACAAGTATTGGGGGCTTTTGGGATACAAAAGGGAGATATTCTAAAGTGGACAATGATAGAAGGCAGAAAAGGGGCACTGTAACATTTTAACACATCAGAGACCCTAGTGATAACACAATCCTTGAGGCCTGGCTGTTGATGCCATTCATTGTTACATTGTTGAGACTGGCTAGTCTCATCAAATCCATGCAGCCCAGGGTCTTAGTCTTGTCATTGAAAAGCAAACTATTGTTGGAGGAAGGTAGGTATTCCATCATTATATTTATAATTGAGAAGAAGAGAACCTGCAGGCTTTTTAGTAGAAATTTGACTCCACTTCCACAATTACATTTGTCCTAGAGGGAGATATAGTACTTTTCAGCCAGGTTACTCCACCACATGTCTTTCCCTTCCTGAAAGAATTCAGCCCAAGAGCTTCAACAGCAAACTTAGGATCATGACATTTAGAAGAGCTGGAAAATTTGAGGTATAATGAGATGCCATCTCATTGAACAATCTCAGGAAACCACCTGGAACTTCCAGGTTTCCAAAGAGGACTCTTAGATTTTTTTTTCTTTCAGCACTTGATACCTACCTTACTTCCAGTGCCTGGGTTCTTTTAGTCTGTTGGAAGGAATACTGAGTTTTAGTTCCATTTTTGCCAAGACCTCTGTGTAGTCCTCTGGGCAAGTTGCTTCTGTCTCAGTTTCATCATCTATAAAATGGTCTTTGCTTCATAGGGATGCTGTGAAGATCACAAAAAATAATGGAAGTGCAAGTGGAGCAAAGTACAAAATGAATCGGTTCATGAGGTTAAGTGGGATTGATATACTTTCCAGAGCAATTTTGTTGAATACCTATGAGTTTACGGATAGAGGAAACTCTGGTTAGGAATCTCCTTCTGATGCATATTAACACCTGCTACCTCTAGCCTAGGACATTGAGAGGTTATCACTTATCCAGTATCACACAGCTAGATGTGTGGAAGGAGGAAGGACCGGAAATGGGCCTTACCTGAAGCTAGTGCTTTAACTGTGTATTGCTGCCTCTACAAGGGCATAATAATTCACTACAGAGTAGTATCTGATATCTTATTAGCAGATTCCAGTGTCATTGGAGATAGCTAGTGTCTTTTCACATGGTTTTCAGAGAATATAATTTGGCCATAGGCCAACTGATATTTCTCCTTTTCCTTGAAAATTATATTACATTTAAAAATTGATGTTAAATGAATTGTTAATGGATAATAATAATGTAACTGATATTGAAGGAGATTTAATGGACAGTCATAAAACGGATATTAAATTCGAGTTTAGCTAAGGGCACAAATGTAGTTTCATTTTGTTTTTTAAATATTTTACGTTTTTTCAATTACATGTAAAAGCAGTTTTAAAACTTAATTTTAAAAAATTTTGAGTTCCAAATTCTCGCCTTCCCTTCCTCTGCTTCTTTCCCCCCTCATTGAGAAGGCAAGCAACTTACTATAGATTATCGACATACAGTCATTTAAAACACATTTTTCCATATTAGTCATATTGTAAAAGAAAACGATAAAAAACACCAGAAAAATAAAGGAAGTTTAAAAAAATATGCTTCAGTCAGCATTCAGACTCCATCAGTTCTTTCCCTGGAAGTGGATAGCATTTTTTATCTTAAGTCTTTTGGAATTATTTTAGATCATTGTATTGCTGAGAATAGCTAAATCATTCACAGCCGATCTGTGTATAGTATTGCTGTTACTGTGTACAAAGTTCTCCTCATTTTGCTCATTTCACTTTATATATCAGTTCATATACATCTTCCCAGATTTTTCTGAGAGCATCCTGCTTGTCATTTCTTATAACATAATTCATATACAACAACTTGTTCAGCTACTCCCCTGCCTGATGGACATCCCCTCACTTTCCAATTAGTTGTCACCACAAAAAGAGTGGCTATAAATATTTTTGTTCATATTGGTCCTTTTCCTTTTTTAAAAATCTCTCTGAGATACAGACCTATTAGTGGTATTGATGGGTCAAAGGGTATGCACAGTTTTGTAGCCTTTTGGGCCTAGTTCCAAATTGCTCTTCAGAATGGCTGGATCAGTTCACAGTTCTACCAAGAGTGAATTAGTATCCACATTTTTCCACATCCCCTCCAACATTTGTCATTTTCCTTTTCTGTCATATTAGCCAGTCTGATAGTTGTGAAGATGTACTTCAGAGTGGTTTTAATTTGCATTTCTCGAATCAATAGTGATTTAGAGCATTTTTTCACATAACTAGACAGCTTTGATTTTTTTTGAAAACTGCCTATTCATATCCTTTGACATAAATGTCGTTTTATGATGATAACAATAGCCCGTAGAGAACCACATAGTAAAATTTTCTGTCTATCTCAGGCAATGGTGCAAATATATATTTATAGAGATGAGCCTATCATGAGCATTTTATAATTCAAATATATGGGATTAGCAAGACACATAGAGGTCCATGTTCTGAAGAGCAAGAAATTCTGCAGATGTTGTGGGTTAAGAGGCCACATTGTGTGTTCTTTTTAAGGTTTCTGGAAACTTGAACCATAACTAGTTGGACAATTTTTATAGTTTTTTTTTAAAGTAACTGTAACATGTTATTGTTTAATTTTGCATCTTCTGAATAAATTTTGACATCATGGAATACAATTACCATCTTTCATGCTTATTGAATTCCAAAACTTAGGAACTATTGGTAATGTAGTTGTAGAGTTGAAGATTAATAATAACAAAAAGAGGAAGGGAAAATTAAGGTATAGGCGACCAAAGAAAAATTTTCAGCAGAAAATGCAAATAAGTGGAGGATTAATCAAGCAAAGAAATACAGGAATGGCAGGACTACAGAAGTGGCGAGAATGTATAAAAGAATGCACATATACACACACACATGCATACATCTGTGTGTGTATATATACATATATATATGTATATATACACACACGTGTGTGTGTGTGTGTGTGTGTGTGTGTGTGTGTGTACACTTTTTAATTTAAAAAGCCTGAAAAGAAGAATGAAACAGGAAGGACTTAGACTGCATAGGGTTTGAAAGGTGGAGATTGCTGTCTAATGATACAAGAAATTATGGTGAATTTTGGAATGTCTGAGCTAGAAGGAGCATCATTTCCCACTCCTTCATTTTATAAATGAGGAAACTGAGCTCAGAGAAAATGAAGTTCTTTTTTTCACAGTCACACAGCTAATTAGTAGCAGAACTAGAAATAGAATCCTGCATCTCCTGACTCCCAGGAGATAAAGAATTGTAGCAGCATGCAGTCCAATAGGAAAGATTAAAATATCACAGGTGAATAAAGAGAAGCGCCTAGTATTAGGAATGCAGCTAAGAAAAGCCTTATCCTGACTAAGTGTAGACTAGCTACCACTGCCTAATTCGAATTCATTGTTTATTCATTTCCCCCCTTACCTCTAAGTCTACAGTGTAAACATCAAATAGCCTTTAAGAGTCACCTGATTTACAAATGCTTAGTAACATTTTCCCCCAATATGCTTGCTTGTGGCTGAGTGATAGGGAGGCTAGAAGGGTTAAGACCTCTAGGGCTAGCAGATACTGTAACTTTGGACCATTGCTAAATTAGGGCATTGTTATTAGCATAAAATCTTTGAATTAGAGGAGAGGTTGGCAGTCTTTTAGTCCACTTTCTCATTTATTGTGCAAATGAATGTTTTTTACAGAATCTCTAATAAATGGTTATCCAGCCTCTAATTGAAAATTCCTAGCAATGAGAACTTCATCACTTAATCAGGCCTATTGAGTACCTTATTGCTTAATTGTCCCCTTTTGGGATTGTTAAAGCTAAAAAGTTCTTACCTAGAAACCAAACCTCTCTCGATGTACTAGCACCACCTATTGGTCCTAGTTCTGCCTTGTGAAGAAATTTGAAATAAGTCCATTTCCTCTTATATGTGACAACCATTTAAATATTTGAAGACAACTTTAATGCCCTTCCTAAGTGTTATCTTTTCCATTCTAATAATTTCCAGGTTTTTTTTTTTCAGTTGTTGGGTATGTGACAAGTTTAATTGCCATTCATCTTAGTATTGACAAAGTGGGTGGTCTGTAGTATCCTAGCCAGTACAATGAATGCACTGACTCTTCAAAAGGGGGAGAAGTTGGGACATTTAAATTCTGTTCCTTTCATTTAGTTGTACCAGAAAAAAATATGTCATCTCTGTGTCCTAGGGACCATATGGATGGGATACCCATGAATCTTTTTGATCACATAGTATTTCATATTTCCCCTTCCCTATCTGAGGATAGGTTAATATATTTTGTTCCTGCCTCTGCTTAGACATTAAGTAGCTGTAGGGAGACTTACAGCACACATCTCCTTTAGCAAATTTAAATAGCATTCGTAAGTGGAATGCCTTTTCATGCAGTTATGTCCATGAGGTTTATAGATTAGAAACCCTCTGAAAATATTCTCTAATTTGAAAAACAGGCATTTTGTTGGGTTTACTATTAAATTAAATTCACAAATCATGAGTGAACTTGAATATCTCCTTACACAGTAACCAGGGATTGTAAGATACTCTAACCCAGACCAGTATTTAGGGCTTCAGGGTGAAGTAAGATGTGCCTGAATCATGCCACTTACCTGATAGGTTTCCTTTACAAATCATTGTCCTTGTTGCCAGTCTGATCATTTTCTGTTCTTGTCTCTGAAGCTGATCTAGACCAGAAGACTCCATGAGATAATTCTTCTCTTCTACTGCAGGTAGAGCAAGTTAGCCAGTTGGCAGTATTTATAGAAGCCATGCTAGACTACCACAGACAGTCCACTGACATTTTGGTGGAGCTGGACAGGAAGTTACAGCACCGGTAAGAATTGACCAATTGGTTAAAAACCTGAAGTCTCTGATACGCCACTTTTTTCCCTTTTTCGGTATTTTGTTATTTTGAGAGATATGTACACGCGGTGGAGAGGGGAATCCTTTTGAGAGGATCTGCCCATCTGCCCTTCCACTTTTTTGTCTCTGTGTTGACTCTCTTTCTCATTACCTGACCAGGCTGTCTCTAGGTTACAGAGTCCCACTGATGTCTTTATTCTTCTTGCACATGTCCTCTAGGCTAGTCTGCTTTTTAAACCCACCACTCTTGTTTTCATTGCCTTTTGATTTGTTTGTAATTTTTATTCTTTCTTAAATATTCTGCTGCGTTCCACGAGTTCCAGATATATGGTCATTACCAGGATGTAATAATTATGATGATGCTGATGATAGTAATCAATCAGGAAGTATTTATTAAGCGCTTACTATATGCCAGGCACTGGCGATAAATAGACAAAAATGAACCAACCCTTGCTGGCGAAGGACTTATGCTCTAATACATTCTGACGTGGATATGGTACTTTATAGTTGGATGTGCACTTTCACATATATTATCTCATTTAATATTCTTATGTTGATTCTGAATCTTATTTGGTTAGCTCTCTTGGTTGAGTGGACTGAGAAATGTACCTGTGGCTAGAAGGACTGGGGAAAGGGATCTGAAACTTACCCCCTCCCACATTTTTTCTTTTCCTTTTACAATTAAAGCTGTTTTATTTCCTAAGTATCTGACAGACAAACACAAATTGCTTACTCTGCTGCTCTGGCTTTGAGGTACCTTGGTTCTATTCCTAACATGGTTGCTGACTTGCAAAATGACCTTAAGCAAGTCATTTAACCTTTTGGGGATTTAGTTACTCAGTCTAAAGAATGGGAAATACCTTCTCTGTCCTTCTCTGGAGAATGATAAGAAGACTGAGATGACATTTGGGAAGCAATTTGAACTCCAGAGAAACTAGAAAAATATGCCTGATTTTTGCCAATAGAGTATTATATGTTTATGAAGATGACTCTGGGCCCTTTCCAGATTCTGAAGTTCCATCAGAATCATCCCCCAAAGATTAAATTATTAGTTTGGTGTAGTATTAAATACGTTTTGATTCTGATCCCTGTATAATACATGCGGTGATTCTCAATGAAATCAAGTCTTCATTAACTACAGCCCTTCATTGTTGGACCAAGTTGGATAACAGGAAGCTACTGATGAGTCTGTTAATGAGAATTTATTAAATACCTTCTATTTACTAAAATCTCTGTCACTCATACACACAGTGTATATATACATATGCACATATATATATATGTATGCAAACACATAGTGTATTTCACTGCATAATTGTTGCAGATTTTATGCCAAATTTTTCGCAAAGTAGTAGGGGACAACCATAATGTGAAGCTTTTTTTCTTAATTTTAAAATTGTGCTGGTATTACTGGTCTTTTAGTTTCCATCAATCTTGTACCAACTTTTTACGCACTGAAAATTGTCCATGCTGTTCAGCTAACACAATCACTTTCAGCTTGAATCCTGCAGAATAGTTTTTATATTTCCCCTAATCAGAAAGAAATGCTTCATTTGTTAATGTTGTATCTGGCAGACGAACTGTACAGTGTAGCTAGCTTGGAAGATGCAGGTCTTACCATATCACATGACTTATTCATGGCAGCTTCATACATACATATACACGGTATAAACACAATATAATTTTTTTGGGGAAGGAACTCTTCAAAGGATTATTAATTTTTTGTTGTTGTTGTTGTTGAGGCAATTGGGGTTAAGTGACTTGCCCAGGGTCACACAGCTAATAAGTGTTATGTGTCTGAGGCCGGACTTGAACTCAGGTCCTCTTGACTCCAGGGCTGGTGTTCTATCCACTGTGCCATCTAGCTGCCCCTTCAAAGGATTATTAAGAATAAATTTGAGGGAATTTTCACTTAGAACTGTGTCACACAGTAAAACTCTGATATTTTAATTGTTGATTAATTTAGAAAGTACCTTCTCCAAGAGAGACACAGTTCCTGTTAACTTTCAGTAGTCCTGCCTATTCAGGAGACACTAATTTTTAAAGACCAGTATGACCTAAATGAGTTCTGGTAAACAGTAGAAAAAGCAAGCTTTGGAATTTAATTTATGTGAACACAGTCAGCTCATCAATCACAGATGATTAGAGGATAGCATTTTGGGGATTTTTCAGAATAAATTTGCCCAATCTTTTCCTGCTTACAATCTAAATCTATGATTAATGTCTGAATAGAATTAATATATTCTTAAAGTCCTGTGTTTTCGATGGTCATATGTTTTATATATCTTAAAATATGTATTACAGAATACGTATATCAACTGCTTTCTCTAATTATAATTACAAGCCTGAGACTGAATTCAAGACTTTTAAAGTTGACAATCAGTACAGTCAGATTTCATTCCATTCTTCAGCAAGTTCAGGTAAGGATGCAATTATACTTACTATTTGGTTAAATCCAGAGAATAAATTGTGTAACTGTTAAGCAAAGCTTGTGTTATTCTTTTAGTCTTAATATGATGGCTGAATGCTTCTCATATCAAAGGAAAATATGTACACATTTCTTCACATTAATGTTGCTAATTTGGAGGTTATTATATACTTTATATACTATATACCTACTTTATGTATACTATACACACACAGAGTTATATACTTTAACAAATTACCAATAGGAGGTATTTCTTAACTTTACTTAGAAAGTGTCTTTTGATACAGAATAGACATCAGCTTTTAAAGTCAGGCATACAAACAAGAGTATTGTTTACATTTGGCCTAGAATTATAAAAGTAGTGTTTAATTTCTGAGTTCTCAGAAGACATAGAGGATTTCAGAACCAGAATCTAGGAAAAGCTATTTATGTTCAGTCTTATCTCTGTAGAAGGGAAGGAGTCACTAACTCTCTATAGCAATGTATCTTAAAATAGATAATGCTGCAAACTAGTGAATTATCTCAGTTCTTTATTGAATTCTTTGAATTGAACTCTAACCTTTTGATTCCCAGGCCCAGAGCTCTCAGCAGCTCAGGAGACAGAGAATGTGGAGAAAGAATAGAGATGCAGGGAAAGAGAGAGATAGAAGAAGGAGGAGAAAGATTTTAAGAATTTTGTAGAGGTTAAGAAGTAAGGACCTTTGCATACCTGTAATCCCTGCTACCAGAGAGACAGGTGACAGGCTGGTAGATTTCTTGAGTTCAGGGGTTCTGAGCTGTAGTGGGCCAAGCCAGTTGGATTTCTGCATGAAGTCCAGCACCATTTGGTGAGCCTCCAGGAGTAGAAGGCAACCTAGTCCAGGTCAGAAACACAGTAGGTCAAAGTTCCCATGTTGATATAGCCTTGACAAGCTCAGGAGACCCAGTCTTCCTCTCCCCCCCCCAAAAAAAGGGGGGAGACAAAGACATCTAATAGTAAAGACTCTGGACCAGTAAAAACTTTCTACATACTAATGGTTAGGAAGCTTTACTTTATAATCCTGGGCCTAGTGTCAACTTAGGGGACATCTTGGGAGGATATGCAATCTGACATATGAGCTTGGCAACTTCATTGCAAGTACAACATGCACACAAGCAAATGCATACACAGAATAAAGTGGAATTTGGTGCCCCATCATTTACTAATTTTTCATATTTATCTCATTAAAAAAGCAAAGCTGTTTTTCCAGGAAACCTCTAAAAGAAGTTTAGTCTAATGTGTTGTAACTTATGTATACCAAGGGGCTGTCCTCAGGTGTCTGGAAATAACCTTTTTTCAGAAAACATTATTAGATTGCTGAGTTGAGGGGAGGCTTTATGGCTCCAGGCAGATAGAGATTGCACTGGAAGTGGGCTGTCAAGTACTTCTTCACAGAGACCACAGTTGACATTGTTTTTATTATCTAAGATTCACTGTGCAAAGGATTATTTTTCAGGAGGGTCTGGGGCCAACCACCAGAATCATCTTCTGCCCTCCTCCTATGTACCTCAGTTTGTCCTATGACTTTAATAGACTACCTCCTGAATTGCCCTTGGCAATGGCAACCATTTAAAAACCAGCACATTTCACATCCATCTCCATTGGTCATGGCTGGAATGTGTGAGGTTGAAGGGGGGCTGTAGTGTTTGTTTCTCAGGAACAGTTTCAGATGAAAATGACATTTTATAGTCGGCTTTAATGGGAAATTACTTTCCATTAGGATTCTGAATGATTTCCACAGAATGTTTATAAAGCGAAGAAAAAATGTCAAGCATTTCACTAACAATTCAAAGTGAAGCTGATGGGACCCTGCCAGAAATGGACTCCAAGAACATTTTCCTCATCATTTCTTCTTTCTAAGGAAAGAAAAGAATGTGGTCAATTAGGCAGTATGAATCCATCATTATAGTGAGATGGGACCATTGATAATATGAGTAAGCAAGACTGAAATGAAGCCTCTGTGTTGGTTAGATTATGAAAATGAACAGAGCATGACAAAAAAATGGAGAAATCACATCTTGTAATGATGGATTGCAGGCAAAAGACCAGGTTAGGTCTTGGCTAGGAAAAATGACCTACTATCCAAACTCTGAGAGCGTACAGTCATGTTTGCCTCATCAGCATTCAGGAGTATTTTTGTGCCAAACTTGAAGAGAAAAGGGGGAGGGAAAGCCATTAAGGTGTAATGGCTCTTTTTTGCCCGGTCCTGAAAGAGCCCAGAAGCCCTGTGTTTACTTCCCCTTCTACCTAGGACTTTAGCAAAGAAAATAATTTAGGAACTTGTGAGCTACACTTTCCTTATTCTACAAATATGTAGCTCTTTCCAGGCACTTCAATATTCACTTCCCATATTATAAGTTTAGAAATTAGTCTTTGTGATGCTGTGGAAAGAATACTGAATCAAGTCAGAAAACTGGCTTCAAGTGCTGAGCCACTAATTAGTGGTGAGATCTTGAGTAAATCACTTTATTTATCTGAGCATCAGTTTCCTCATCTTTTTATTTGTCTTTATTTTATAGGGTTGTTTTGAGATGATGTATAGGAAAGTGCTTTGAAAACTGTCAAACCCTTTACAAATGTAAGGTATTACTGGATATAGGATTAATCATGTTTTTTGGCTAACCCATTTATTTTCAAAGTTTTGAATGATTCTAAGCACTAATCATCTTCACTATATTTTAATAGATTTTAAAAAGTTGACTAACTAGTATAACTAGTAAATGAAACATACCATATGAGAGGGATAAACATTGGGCTCTTAAGTGTGTGTGGTGGAGTGAAAGGAACACAGAACTTTGAATCACAAGGCATGAGTTCAGGTCTTGGCTCTGCTATGTAATGCATTTCTGAGCCTCAGTTACTTCATCAGCGAGATGAGGGGATTGGACTAGATGTCCTCTAAGCTCCCTTGTGATTCTCAGAAGATTTATGTATAGAAAAAGAACCAACAACAGAGTGAAGGTTTAGAGGCACTATGCAAACAAATCATAATTAAGTTGCAAAATAATTGTAGGATAAAAAAGATTAAGTTGCTACAAACTATTTAGTTAAAGAATATTCCAGCTGGAAAAAGTCTTTCCCATACACATGTGTAGGTCGTCTGAGAGCAGCATGGTATGATGGAGAGAGCACAGCACTAGGAGATGGGGAACTGTGCTTTCTAGTCCTCTCCCTGCCACTAACTAGCTGTGCGGCCTTTCTGCCTTAATGCCTCCTTCTCTAAAGGCAGGAGTTGGCCTGCATGATCTCTGAGGTAATTTTCAACTCTAAAACTAGATGATTCTGTGTCTGTCACAATCAGATGCTTCCCGATGTTACTGAATATTTTTTGACCCTTAATTTTCCCGCCTTCCTCTTCATCCATCTTTAAACAGTGGAATTAATTGTTCATTGTGCTATCTAAATGAGCTAATTTCTAAAATATATACTTAATGACATATATATTTATACATAAACCACACAGAATGTGAATATGCATTCATAAAATACACTTTCTTTTTTTGTTAGGTGGGTTTTATGTGGGAAAATATAATTTCTTGAACTTTATTGTTCCTAGTAGCTAGCACAATGCTGGGCACATGCACAGCTCAGTCAATTGTTTGGTGCTATTTGTGTTACAGAGTAGCCTAGTCAAGCCCCAGTCATACAGCAGTGCACTACCCACAGAACAAACTCTGAATTGAGGGTCAGAGGGCCTGGTTTAAATCCCACCGGTCCCATTTAGTACCTGCATTACCTAGGGCAAGGCCTTTGTCTTCTCTGGGCGTTAGTTTCTTCCTCTGTAAAATGAGGAAGTTGGACTCTGTGACCTCTGAGGTCCATCATTCAGGATCCTATGATGTGATGGCCTCAGCTCTCTTCTAGCCTTAGAGCTGTCATTTTATAATCGGCATACACTCATTGTATTCACTAGGTAGGGACCAGTACATATCCCCTCACACTCCATCACTTTCACACTTGGGATCTGTTCTTCTTCTCCCTGCCCTCAGACAGTCTCACCTGTGTGAAGACTGAGTACTCAAGGTTATGCCAATCAGATGTTTTATCTGTCTGGCTCTTCATGGTGCTCTCCAGTGCTGATCTGTATCTCCTGTGAGGACTGGGAAGTGATCCATTCTTCTCCTGTGCTCCCACAGGCCCAACTCCGAGTCTGCCAAACCTGTCAGGTTCCACATCATCCACTTTCATACTCACACCAAATCATTAAGCTGGTCCCACCTCAGCAACACTCGAGGGCCACCCTGTCAGTCTCACTGCCATATCTAGACACACTGGCATGTGCCATTTCAGGGCTTAAAACTGCATTGTTTCCTATGGGCCACACTTTCATTCTCAACACTGTTCCCTCAGCATTCACACTGACAAGAGACACAATCTCAGATTGACCACACACTGATGAGCTTCCAAGATTTGTACCAGCCATCCTTTGTGTTCTGAACTCTCATCCCACAGTGAGAACACACTGACACACAGCACCCCACAGGCACACACTAACAACACACTCAACGTTCTCCATGTGATAGAGTCTCATCATTAGCTTGTTCACAGTAACCACTACATAAGGGCCAGGGCTTTAAATTGTTTCTCCTCAAGTAATTGAAGAACAGCAGGACTTCTCTTCCCTTGAGTTAGGGCATCATTCTTTCTTCCCATTTTGGCTCCTTTTAGACAGATTGATATGTTAATAGCAGGTCCAAGAATAAGCTTGCTATAGAATCTTCCATCTGAACTGATAGACAGGCAACATGATAGTACAGAAGAAGCTGGGTAGGACCTGGAGTCCAGCAAAGTGGGAGGAGAATTATGATATACAAGTCTCTGTGGGCAACGGTTCAAGACCTGGGAGATCAGTTTGGGCCAAGAAAGAGTATGGATGTAACTGTAGGCAGTGAAGTCAGAGTTAAAGAGTGGCATGAGTGATCAGGGGGCAGAAGTATTTGTTCTCTCTCCTGTTTTATATACCTTACTGGCTATGGGTTGTACCATAAGTATTGACTGTAGGGAGAAGGATCTCACAGGTTTGTAGGGAAATCTTGCCTGAGACTGAGGTAAAAACAAAGATGGCAAGTAGTGTTAGCTCACACCCGCCTGTATTTTGTTAATTCCCTCTAACTCAGTAAAGTATTTGTCTTTTTAATGAACATTTTTTATTTCCATACAACTCGGGCAGGTCCTACGATTTTCCCGGATCATCCATGCTGTCGTGCTCTCTACGATTTTGTTCCTGAAAGTGGAAGAGAACTTGGATTTAAAGAAGGGGACATCATTACATTAACCAGTCAAGTAGATGAAAACTGGTATGAAGGAATATTCCAGGGGCGATCTGGATTCTTCCCCATTAATTATGTCTCTGTGCTAGTGCCTTTGCCTTATTAGGTTTGTCACTGCAGCTGTGGACCTCAGTTTGTGACTGAAATGATTTCACCCAAGTGTTCTCTCAGTGTGGCATTCTGTGAAAGCCCTGATATATTTGACCGACTAAATGACTTTTGTATGTGTGTTCCCTTTTTAGTGAGTTTTGTATTTCATTTGTATAAATATTTTACCTTTTTGGCCACTTGGAAGTGCAATTTTCATTTTTTGCTTTGTCTCTTCAAGGTCACTGGTTCGATGTGTATGGATACTGTTGTTTAAAAAAAAATTGTATCCATTGCAGAAACTCTTGACTGGTTTTTGTTGTCTGTTAGATGCAATGATTTTTAAAATCATTAAATATAATTTAAATTATGTTAAATTTAAAACATAAAATATAAAGCTAAAAAACCAGCGTCTCCAAATTACTGCGGTCATTGAATCTTTCATTCATCACAATGTAACTTATCTGTTAACAGCCTAATAAATATTGTTCATTCTATGTAGTCAAAAGTCAAAATTTGGTATCCTCAGTACCATGATGCTTTTGCACAGAATGCAGTCCTCAGGTTGTAGCCTATTCTAGCTTACCCAGGTTGACCCGGCTTAATAAATTTTAGAGAAAACAATGCCTTTTCATCATTTATGTAAATGCTTTTAAGTGACTTTCCTTTGCAGATCAAAGTGGTTTTGGGAATGCCTGTGGGTTTTTTTTAAATCACCTTTTACCTACTTAACCCAGTTATTGTAACTTTTTCTTTATACTTCACAGTGAGTGGGGGAAAGTCTTCAAAGTGAGGCATCCTGAACTGGGTATTGAATAGGCTTGTGGGCAGAAGTGCTGGAGTGAATCAGGTACTTGGGCACAGATGTAGTTTACTTGGGAAAGCTTCATGAGGGGAGGGGAGTTTTAAGCATGAATTTGAATGAAAGGCAGGCATATGGCTTAACACAGGGAGGCAAACTCAGTGGCTTAAAGAATGGAATAAATAAGAAGTAGGGAAGAGTACAAAAGATTTATCTCATGAAAATAGAGAATTCAGGCTTTGTTTTAAGGAATGATAAGGGTTTTGGAGTTAGTGGAGCTGAAGAAGAGTCCCAGTTCACGGAGGTCCAATTCAATGAGTGCTTATGTTCCAAGAAGCAATTAGGAATCCCTTTAGGTTTCAGCTAGAGAGTTGCATGATCAAAACAACACTTTTGACCAGAGGTTCTTAACCTGGAATCCTTGAATACATTTCAGACAATCCATGATTTTTTTTGTTTAACATTTTGATGACTTTATTTTGGTTATCGTTTCTTTTGTAATCCAATATAGTTTATGCATTAAAAAAATATTCTGAGGAGTCCATTAGTTTCTCCAGATTGCCAAAGGGGTCAATGAAACAACAACCAAAAATGGTTAAGAACCCCTGGTTGCCTGATTATTCAACCTAAGTGTCAGATAAATTGTAATGCTGAGAGACTGAAGTAATGTAGTAGAAAGAGCACTAAACCTGGGATTACAAAACCTAAATTTGAATCTTGGCTCTGCGCCTTCCTGCTTCTTTGATCACAGGCAAGTCTCTGGCCCTGCTGGACTGCTGTTTGAGAGATCTAACATCGTTGTGGTCCCTTCCACTTCTCTGTTTTATGAATCTTATCTGCCCTGCCCATTTAACAGGGTTGTTGGGAGCATCAAATAAGTTAATGTAAATGAAAAAATGCCCTGCAAATTCTAAAGACAACCCAGATGTAAAAGGCATAAAAGGCTACGTCAGAGAGAGGTAAACTGCAAACCAATTCAGGAAGATGTAAGAGACTGATGCAATGATGATTTATTTATCTTCACAGACAGATGAAGTAAGCTTGTACTTATTTTTAAGAGGGGAAGAGATGATATGGTCAAGAGAAAAGCCTATGGAAGGAAAAGCATTAATCTTCTTGGGGTGTATCAGACACCTATTTTGATTTTTATGCCTCAGCTGCTACATCCATGAAGCTTCACTGTCTTTCTTGGGTTAGTGTGCCTGTTACCTGTCTGTCCCCCATGCCATCCAGTTGCTAGCTAACAACCCAAAAATGTGGGAGAAGAAATACCATTTTTTCCTTCCAATGCAGCTTTTGGTTCTAGCACTGCCAACTGTCGACTTCTTCCCACACCTAGACATTTCCACATTTGTGGGTGGTGTGAGACAGATGGCTGCAAGTGTAGGTAATGGAAGCCATACCCAGTAATGCTGTGGAATAACAAGGAAATGGACTGCCTTCAACTTCACACTTGCAAAAATGCCTTAATTTCTTTGAAACAAAATGCCCCAAATCAGATTGCAGTTCAAACTTAAGCTGTTTGAATCATGAAGGTTTATGTGAACTGTCTCAAACCAGCCTGCATCCTCTGGAAGCAGAGCAAGACTACAGGTGACTTTCCCACGCTTGGATATTTAAACTTTTCTTTTTGACCTGGTTATATTCTCTAGTGCAAGAAGGGGAAAAAGTCATAGGTCAAAGACATATTGTCAACACAGATGAAATGAGCCCAAATAATGAAATATTTCCTGATATATCTTTAATCTAGAATAGTGTTTGCATCTGCATCCACTTTATACCTTTCAGCATCAACACCCAACCACACGAAGAAGTTGTACGTGATTAAAATGCTTCTCCATTGCTCCATGTGATTGTAGGAACATCAGGCCCAGAAACGGTTAAAGAAATAATTTGTTCGTTAGAAAATGCAGATGAATTTTCACTAGGTGAGAATGACATTTTTATTCTAGTAACTGTAAAATGAAAACCTCAAAACGAAGCTCTTCATTTTTAATGTGGTATAATGAAAATGTTGTACCAAGAGGGAGGCGGCCCATTTTCTAGTACCAGCTTTGTCACCACCCTAAGCAACCCAGTGGAACTCTCTGGGTCTCTTATTCACCATCTGTAAAACAGATGGGTATGACTAGTTTGCATGAAGTCCATGAATTTGTTTTTTAAAATAAATTTTAAAATATGTATTTTAATATAACTGCTTTCCTTTGTAATTTTATGCATTTAAACACATTATTCTAGAGAAGGAGTCTCTAGGCTTTCACCAGATTGCCAAAGGGGCCCGTGACACAAAAGTGGTTAATAACCCTTGGACCAAATGGTCTCTATAGTTCCCATGCTAAAATCTATGGTTATAACTATGAACATTATAAACATTGAACAACTACTACTGAGAGCTTTGGCATGCTGTTTCATGCCAACCTAGTTTGTTATTCCTGGTTTTGTCGCTTATGTAACTACACTATTTAACATTTTTATAAATAATATGAAAGATTGAACAGTCTAATATCTACTTTTCCAGATGAATGGCTAAGGTCTCTCGGGTAGGGAAATGTGAAGTTGATGAGGATATACTGCAGGATGATCTCACCAGGTAATGTGAGTAGGCAAAGAGTAGATGAATTTAAGTATGGATAAATGTAGTATGGTGTGGAGGATTTGGAAGTGGATCTGAGTCTGAATTCTGCTTCTGACACTATCTCACACACAGAATTTGAGAGTTGAAAGAAAGCTGAGAACCCATTTAGTCCAACCTATGCCCTGAAGGAATCTGTACTATAGCATACCCAAGCCTGTGACAAGAAGACCTCTAAGGAGAGGTAACCCATTCCTTCTCAAGACCATGGGCAGGTCACCAAGTCTCTGAGCTTCAGCTCTTTCATTTAATCAGGGAGTTGAACTAGGTGATCTCTGAAGAGGACCCTTTGCCTGTCAAAATCTTATGATCCTATAAGTATGAGGTAATGCATTTTGGGGGAAAATAACATAAACCCCACTTGCAAGATGATGGGCTGTGGATGACCTTAGGAAACTAAAGAATCTAGGAGTTAACTTAGGCTGCTCTAAGGACCTCAGTTGGCGTAACATACAACTATGTCTCCCCACCCCAGTAAGAATCTAGACATCATGGAAGGTAGTGAAAAGATGAGAAAAAGGTATCTTAAATTTTCACAAAAATTTAAGTGATTTCATGGGTATTCCCATGTAGAGGGCTGGCTTTGGGGAGTTGGAGGGCTTAGGCCAGCCCGGGTCTTACCTGCAGCTTGTACTAAGCCTGACAGCTGTGAAACTCAGGATGTCGGCTCACCACTTCCCTGTTCCATCTCTTGAGAACAGGATGCAGGAAGGGAGGAAACGGATGGGGTACAGGACAGGATGCAGGAAAGAGTGTAACAGACAAGGTACAAGGAAGTAAGGAAATCATTGTACTTTTCATGAATAATAATGTTACTATTGCTTGATCCAGTACTATATAAGCCTGAGCCCTCAGATCAATAAACAGTTTGTTCTTCACTGCTCTCACCTGGCCCGTGTTTCTTTCTCTCTTCACACTCTGCCAGCATCAGACCACAGCCGGGGACGCAGGCGCTCCCGGCATTCCCACTACTAAAATTGATCACAGCCCATCCCCACCCCTTGCTTTCTCCCCTTCCTTTCAATATATTTTATGCATTTAAAAACATTTTTCTGAAAAGGGGAATAGGCTTTATCAGACTGCCAGAGAACCCCTTCTTTTTCCATAATCTGCAAAAAATTAAGAACCCAAGGCTAGCAGATGCCCTTCCAGAATGTCAGGACTGAAAAATATATCACTCTCCTGACAATCTGGTGATTTTTTTTTAACTTGGGCTAGTCCTGAAGTGACAGACACACTGACCCTCATCAAGACTTATACTTGGAGCTCTGAGCTCACATCCAGCTAGCACAGCCTTCAAGGCCACTACCACTTGATGCTGCCTCAGGGTAGAATCGGCAGGGAGAGCATCCCTATTAGAAATGGTCAGGTTTAGGAAGTTGCTGTTGTTTCCCCCTAGGAGCATCACTCCTTTGGCTAGTTTAATTGTTGCAATAAGGCTGCTACAATATATTCAAAAGGAGAGACAACATACTTCCAAACTGATTAGATAGTGAAGAAAGGTCACAGATAAGGTCCTTGGATCAATGGGGGAGAATATGTTGCACTTTTTAAATGACTAATCTCTCTACATAATTAGAAAGGCTTTCACTTCAAACAAAAACAATTTTTTTTGTTGTCATTTTTTTTAAAGGAAGGCAAGAAGGAAGATGGGAGTCAATGGTGATACAAAAGAACCCAAGATTGGGTTCCTTAACATAGGAAGGGGGGTGGTTTGCCTGACCCTCATCTACTCAGAGGTTAGCTAGGAAGCTGGCATCCCAGAAAAAAGGAAATCTATGGCTTGTAGTGGCCTCTAGTGTGCCTCCTGATGGTGTGAGGTCCATAGCAGTGGAGGCACTGACTGTCCCCCAAGCCTAGAATGCATTTCCACCTCACCTCCATCTTTGAGAGTTCATTTCTCTTAAAATTCTGCTCAAATGACACCTTCCTCACG